CCTAATTTAATCACTCACTATTTGACATAATAAGAGGAAGGTTGATCATGTCAAGCTCTCGCCAACGACGACTGGATGATTTTGAAAGTCGTTATGTGATTAAATGGTTTTCTAAATCCCCCACTTGATGACTAATTAAACCCGTTTTGCATTTTAGTTTCAGTAGATTTTTTAGTTTTAGTGTAGATCATGTACAAAGATGTAATGGCTTAATGTCATCTTTAACATTGTCACTACTTTTTTAGGACCATTATCTGAATAAATTATTGTCAGCCTTAATCTATCATAGTGACTTCATATATTGACAGTTAATCGCTAATGATAATTAATGCATGTCAACAGGACCGCCATCGGTCTTTGGACATTCTGAAATTGTTTGCAAGTTCATCAGAATGTAATATGAAACATAACTGAACACGAATCGCAAGAACGCAAATGATTCCAGAGCACCGTCGGAAGTATGTACAGTGATAAAACGACAAACGCTCTGTTAAACCATATTTCACCTCTATTCTACTCAAATACCCGGGTGGTGGGGTAGCCTAGTGGTTAGAGCGTTCGGGTTCGATTCCCGACATGGGTACAATGTGTGAAGCCCATTTCTGGTGTCCCCCGCCATTATATTGCTGGAATGTTGCTAAAAGCGGCGTAAACCCATACTCACGATCATCGATCCAACTGGTTTGACATCGCTCTCAGTTAGTTTGCTTTTGTTGTACACGTTTTCTCATCTAAATGGGGGCAGTAGCCGGTAGCCTAGTGGTTAAAGCGTTCGCTCGTCACGCCGAAGACCCGGGTTCGATTCCCGACATGGGTACAATGTGTGAAGCCCATTTCTGGTGTCCCCCGCCGTGATATTGCTGGAATATTGCTAAAAGCGGCGTAAAACCATACTCACTCACTCACTCATCTGAATGGCTCTCACAGACGTCGAATGTGTGTATACATTTATCAGTACTTTTAGGAAAGATGCAAAGATATGGACCTTCACCAAAAGAAACTTACAAATATAAGGATATGCCAAGAAACCTTTACAATGTAAATGTTCAACGGTAAAGTATGCCTTTCCTTACTGCATCGAGTACGAATATCATAAAGCCCTTATATGGCCTCTATACATTAGTCAAAGGGATGTTCTCCAGATGAGTTGATGAGTCGACGAAAGGTTTTTTTCGTATTTTCGGATAACCTGGTCCTAGAGGTTTCAGACACCTTGCATCTTAATTGCGGCAGGTGGTGGACAGAAAGTATGCTCTTCTCAAGACAGTAGGATGGTGGGTGTAAAATAAAAGCTGGTTAATATTTCATAAACGTTGAGCAAGACGAATACTGCTTCTACTTTGTACAATGTAGTTTTAGGAAGTGTCCTGATTGGGTCTTTCCAGATCGATGAGATGAGAAATAAGGAAACACATTTGGCTAGTTTGTTTGTCCTTGGCATTGTTTATATCAGGCCTCGAAACTTAACTGGACAGCAAACTGGAGTACCAAGTTGAAGGACAGATTGAAACCTCTGCTTCCACTCGCATATCGTTGTAATGTATACGATCATCATTATTTTCAGATTCAAACACCACATTTAGAGATTCTATATCAATAGAGTGACCAATTTATTGACTAAAACTTCCATCTCCACATTAACCTTGGAAACACATAACGACCGGGTCATCAACTATTGGGTATATTCCTCACCTGGTTAACGAACGTGGGTCATTTACGGTATAAGTCGATATGCTTTTGACAGGGTTACCCCACCGCCAGTGCGGACGATCATAACTGATATATCAGGCCAACATTAATACACGTAATTGTGAAACTAATAACATTTATATGTGAAATTAATCATAAATATTTTTCTTCTCTATTTTATTTGTTCTTTTGACTTTGCACCATACCTTCTGCAGGGTCGGGGTACGGGTGGCCTAAGGCACCGCAAGTCGCTGTGAAGAGTTGCGCCCCTTGCGCACGCCAGAAACCTATGATTGTGGTCGCCCCGACTATGTTTCTAGGTCTGTTTGGTTTTACCAAAGTGGTGACCTGCATCGCTGCAGGCTTTACCCCCATATCTATCTGACAAGCCGTGATACAACTGGAATACTGTTCAAAACAGCATTACACACATCTCATTCACTCACTCATTTACTTACCCAGTCTGACAGATGACGTACTTCCGTATTTATCCATCCTTTGATCTTTGACTATCCGTGGTCTCAGTGAGAAAATTCACAGATATTATTATAGGCATCATGATCTACAAAACAAAGATTGTAAGCTCTTACAATTTGCCTTGCATTAACAACATACACTATTTGTTTTCCATGTACTTTTCATTCTCCTTATGCGTGCCTCTGATCCAAATCACTAAATGTCCTGGCACGCATGCTGAAATTGGGACCTATCATGCCTCGAGTCACCATGGCCACAAGCCAAGTCCTCGTTATAACGTTTCTACTGAAGTAGGAATGCCGTAAATAGGACTCTAAATAGGACTCTCATCTCACATCTCTGCATCTTTCATAACCAGTGTGTAAAGAGTTGTCTCGTAGCCCTAAACATCTATGGTCGATTCCTCACCTTGGTGAAGCTGATTTGTGGTGTCCATCAACGTGATATGGCCCTTGTGATGCTAAAACGCGTAAAACCATACCCATGTCCAAACTATTGTTTGCTTCTGGTTGTAACTCTGTGAAGCATAGTGAGTGAGTGAGTGAGTGAGTATGGTTTTACGCCGCTTTTAGCAATATCCCAGCAATATCACGGCGGGGGACACCAGAAATGGGCTTCAAACATTGCACCCATGTCGGGAATCGAACCCGGGTCTCCGGCGTGACGAGCGAACGCTTTAACCACTAGGCTACCCGACAGCACCTGTGAAGCATAGCGTGAGGGAGGGGGGACTTTAAACAATGTTTTAGTTGAAACTTTGCATGTCAACTTGATGTTTACCACTTTGGGGAAACCCACGAGCACGGGTATGGTGCTGACGAACTACAATCTGGGCGAATCTGTGATTTTAACCCACAATCACAGGATCATGGCAAGCCTTACGGAGCCTTACAAAGACGACAGAGCCACCAACCCTTGGCCATTCAGTTTACTTATATAATTATATATTCCTTAATCTGTTTGTTTGTCCACTGTTTTCACGCACCGCTCGGGTCTGTACCATCCAAACCAGTGATTGATATTATGAACAGCATGACACTCCGACTGGACACAATTATTAAGCCGTCTCGTGTGACAGGCATAGGTTGGGCACAAATTCTAAAACGGAAACCCTAGGGGATCAATTATGTAAAAAGTATGTCACATGATTTGCATAGACAAAGAAACAAGAAGGCAAGTAAAAGTGTTTATTTGCAAGCAGTTGTTATAAAAAAAAATTATTTTACAAATTGTACCAATATCAAATAGGAAGCAAGGTTTGTCAGTGTGAAAGCTGAATATCCCCCACAAGTTCGTGTCCACTTGATGATACATGGCGACATCACGCTCCCAATTTGAAACAAATAGCCATCACACGATCTCTATTCGTTGTGCTGGTCCATCCTGCAAAAACATGCGAATGAGAACGGTTAAAACAAAGTTAAAATAACAACCCTGTTAATCAGAACGGTATCGTTTCCAGGCTTGCCGGGTTAAAAAGGTTCCTGGATAATAAATATACCATTGTTCCAGAGTTGAACCTTTGCATAAATAACTGTTCCCCACGGGATCGCCTAGATCAATTTTTAATTTCCAAACAAACGGTGTCCAGACGGTGTAACAAGGATAGAAAGTAGACGCTCCTTACATTGATTCTGTCCGCCACGGTTTTGGGACTCGGGGGATGAGGACTTTTACTGTGTGCATTTGCAATTAGAACAGTTACTGAACAACATCGATGTCACTGGTTCGTATGTGATATCGATCCAGTTAACTGATGAACTGTTTCACAGACAAGGTGACATTATCATTAGAATAAGGTGTACGCGCGCGTGCGATTGTGTGTGTGTGTGTGTGTGTGTGTGTGTGTGTGTGTGTGTGTGTGTAGTACTCTTGAACCCAACGTTCGACCCCGTTGTACCTCAACCTACCACCCTCGCTTATATGTCAATATTTTTCCCTTTGAATTTGACCGGAATAACCAGTTTCTGTCATTACGAATCATTTGAAGACAAGATTAAATACAGATGTATGTATCACCCCGGATCGTACCGGGATTTCCGGACTAACGAGTGACCAAACGTCCCCATCCTGTGGAAACAACTCACATAAACTAATGGCCAAAATAACCATTACCATAGTTTTAAATCACCCTTGTTTAAAAACCACAAAGGATTAAAATAAAATATATCGAAAAGATAACAATCTCAACAAAATCAACATTTAAAATGACAGTCATACAGCATCCGATCTTGGCTTGACAGTTGCCCGAATTGAGGTGGGGCAGCAAATTCAAGCTTTCAACGTAATCGACAAAAAGTCACACACATTTATAATCTCTCAAGTTCAATGACACGTCACATTAATAGCGTGTGTGACCACACCCTACAAAACACGCAAATACTCTCCAGGGCACAGACAAAGTCAGTCGTCCAATGACGTCACGTAGGATACGTGGCCATTCTTCTTGGGGGGCCTGGGATCAGTTCGTGTCAGTTGGCTGGAGGATGTGGTCGCTGTCATACACGACGATCCATGACATCGCAGGGGTGATCTATAGGGGATATGTCTGGTGACATCGCAGAGGTGTTCTATGGGGGATATGTCTGGTGAGCTGATAAAGGACACCATGTGACAGCTGTTCTAGAAATGGTAGAACATTCGGATGAAGAATGCCATCTATGTAACGCTGAGCAGTCAAATTTTGAACCGTGTTCTCTCCTGCATACAAATTCCTCCCTAAACCATAACACCACCTCCACCATACGGCACGACCTCTCGAAAGCAACATTCCGGCGTTTGTTCCCCCCTTCGGCGCTGAACGGCATTCATCCCTGAAGACGACCCTCTGCCAGTCACGTCGTACAGTTCGAGCCAATCTCAAACTCTGACATTGATGTTGCGCTGTCCACAACTGTCTTCTGTAAGGCTCTAACTTCGTGAGCCCTGAGTCGCATGGCCACTTTCACCGTCGCTGATGGCGTCACTGTCAGGAATCAATTCCGGAGATGCAAAGTACTCAAGTACAGGTCTTCATTGGGCGTAGTTAGCCTGGGTCTGCCTATTCCTGGCATGTCTGAAGTCTTCCCGGGCTGTCTGGAACGTGTCATCAGGCTAGTTACAGCAATGCGATAACAACTAAAAAGTCTAGCAATGTGGGCATGGGTGGCTTCTGTATGATCATACAGGTTAGTTACAGCAACATGGGAGCAACCAAACGTTCTAGTAATGAGGGCATGGGTGGCTCCCATATGTATCATATCCGAGACCATCTCGCGTTGTTCGGGTGTCAGTCGAGGCATTTCTGTATTGTTTTTTTATCAGTGTGAGTGTCATTTATATACCCTTATTGAATTGTAGTTTTGGCTGCACAAGCGACTCCTGTTTTTTTTTTACTTTTTCGCTTTTTTATTTTTAAAGTGGTAAAGTTTCTTTTGGCCGTCTGTTTATGTTGCCCTTACATGTATCAAGTCTGACATACTAATTAGCAATTACACTGTGTACAATTGTGATAAATAAATATTAGGGTTAAATTTGAACTCTTTTTCCATGGTGACTAAAACTTATGAATATTGATGTGATTGTGTGGTAAGTCATGGGGACAGGATGTTATAGCAGTGTCTTAGTTGCTGGGTTTATTGTGGGGGAAATCCTCACACCTTTGCTCACATATGAAGGCGCACTCTTTTGAGCAAACCCCATCATGCCAACTGTTATCTGAAACCATGAGAAGGTAGACACAGTCGGGGTCTGAACTGTAGAAGTGTGCCTTCCCTGACGGCTGACTCTTGTTCCAGTGAGTGTAATCAACTGGCTTGCCACTGCTTTCCCACACCCAGCGACCTTCTACCTGAATTTCTGAGAGGCCAATCCAAAGACAGGTGCCTTTTTCGGCTGAAAATGAATCACGACACATTAATAATGATTGATTATAAATTTCAATCACGCCCTCTAATTAAATATTCTTCAAATTTTGTGCTGATATTTTATTAATATCTTATTCTTTGGTAAATGGCACTACAGCTTAGTCAATTACACACTGTTACCGAATGTCTCTGTTATTCACGTCAGTAAACAGCTCAGTCAAGGCACATGATCACGTTAAATGACTATGTGGCTATTCCGTAACACTCTCTGGCCTTTCGACACTAACACCGTGATACGAAACTGTGGACCCGGGTTATATTCAGTCCCAAGCATTCTGGACCGCCTCCGTGGTCCTGTGGTAGAGCGTCCGCCCGGAGAGCGGAAGGTCCGGGGTTCGATCCCCGGCCGCGTCATACCAAAAGACGTTAAAAGATGGTACTTGTTGTTACCCTGTCTGGCGCTCGGCATTAAGGGGCTAAAACAAGGACTGGTCGGCTCGAGGTCAGTATACTGTGTCTGAGTGGGGTATTCATGTTAAACTGCGGCGTGGTATCTCAGTGAGCTAGCACTATAAATCGGCATTAGTCCGGACTAGATCAAGCGGCCACACAAACACATACTCGTACATGCACGTCGCTATATAAGTGCAATAATCTTGGACTCGACGTTAAACCCAATTTCACCTCACCTCACCTCACCCAAGCATTCTGTTTGCCCATAGGTATCTGCCGCCTTTGTACACTGATACCGTGTAACATGTTGGTACGTAACTGTGGACCCGGGTTATATTCAGTCCCAAGCATTCTGTTTGCCCTTAGGTATGTGCCGCCTTTGTACACTGATACCGTGTAACATGTTGGTACGAAACTGTGGACCCGGGTTACATTCAGTCCCAAGCATTCTGTTTGCCCATAGGTATCTGCCGCCTTTGTACACTGATACCGTGTAACATGCTGGTACGTAACTGTGGACCCGGGTTATATTCAGTCCCAAGCATTCTGTTTGCCCTTAGGTATCTGCCGCCTTTGTACACTGATACCGTGTAACATGTTGGTACGAAACTGTGGACCCGGGTTATATTCAGTCCCAAGCATTCTGTTTGCACTTAGGTATCTGCCGCCTTTGTACACTGATACCGTGTAACATGCTGGTACGTAACTGTGGACCCGGGTTATATTCAGTCCCAAGCATTCTGTTTGCCCATAGGTATCTGCCGCCTTTGTACACTGATACCGTGTAACATGCTGGTACGTAACTGTTGACCCGGGTTATAATCAGTCCCAAGCATTCTGTTTGCCCATAGGTATCTGCCGCCTTTGTACACTGATACCGTGTAACATGCTGGTACGTAACTGTGGACCCGGGTTATATTCAGTCCCAAGCATTCTGTTTGCCCTTAGGTATCTGCCGCCTTTGTACACTGATACCGTGTAACATGTTGGTACGAAACTGTGGACCCGGGTTATAATCAGTCCCAAGCATTCTGTTTGCCCTTAGGTATCTGCCGCCTTTGTACACTGATACCGTGTAACATGTTGGTACGAAACTGTGGACCCGGGTTATAATCAGTCCCAAGCATTCTGTTTGCCCTTAGGTATCTGCCGCCTTTGTACACTGATACCGTGTAACATGTTGGTACGAAACTGTGGACCCGGGTTATAATCAGTCCCAAGCATTCTGTTTGCCCATAGGTATCTGCCGCCTTTGTACACTGACACCGTGTAACATGTTGGTACGAAACTGTGGACCCGGGTTATAATCAGTCCCAAGCATTCTGTTTGCCCTTAGGTATCTGCCGCCTTTGTACACTGATACCGTGTAACATGTTGGTACGAAACTGTGGACCCGGGTTATATTCAGTCCCAAGCATTCTGTTTGCCCATAGGTATCTGCCGCCTTTGTACACTGATACCGTGTAACATGTTGGTACGAAACTGTGGACCCGGGTTATATTCAGTCCCAAGCATTCTGTTTGCCCATAGGTATCTGCCGCCTTTGTACACTGATACCGTGTAACATGTGGGTACGAAACTGTGGACCCGGGTTATATTCAGTCCCAAGCATTCTGTTTGCCCATAGGTATCTGCCGCCTTTGTACACTGATACCGTGTAACATGTTGGTACGAAACTGTGGACCCGGGTTACATTCAGTCCCAAGCATTCTGTTTGCCCATAGGTATCTGCCGCCTTTGTACACTGATACCGTGTAACATGTTGGTACGAAACTGTGGACCCGGGTTATATTCAGTCCCAAGCATTCTGTTTGCCCATAGGTATCTGCCGCCTTTGTACACTGATACCGTGTAACATGTTGGTACGAAACTGTGGACCCGGGTTATATTCAGTCCCAAGCATTCTGTTTGCCCATAGGTATCTGCCGCCTTTGTACACTGATACCGTGTAACATGTTGGTACGAAACTGTGGACCCGGGTTACATTCAGTCCCAAGCATTCTGTTTGCCCATAGGTATCTGCCGCCTTTGTACACTGATACCGTGTAACATGTTGGTACGTAACTGTGGACCCGGGTTATAATCAGTCCAAAACATTCTTGGCGACTGACAAGCGACGAAATTACCTCAATGGTTTGTTCGTGTGCGTGATCTCGTACCGCCATATGTGTGGCGTGGAACTATTCTATTAATAAATATCCAGCATCCACGAACAAACATAAACCTTTGTAAAACTTACGGTGAATGAATGAGAGATAATATGACACAAAACGATGTTCATCCTCTGATGTGTCCTCCAGTAGAAACATATTTCTATCGTCACAGATTTTCTGGAGACACAAAACAAAATCAGAATTATGAGTAATTATTACAGAATTATTACTCTTTATCGAGTGAATAGCAACAATACACAATGTGTCAGCATCGTACCCGACTGATCAAATGGGTGTCGTGTCGTAAAATGAAACCATGTGTACTGATAATATTTATCTCATCTCGTTGTCTGACAAAGCAGCTACATTCACAAGTAATTGTCGTCAATGTCATTACGGCGGGCATGGGAGGCCCAGGCGCCACGATTCGCTTTGCAGAGTTGCGTCCCTTGGACAGGCCAGAATCCAGAATTGTGGGTTCGAATCCCGGTTCGCCCCGATTATGTTTCTAGGTTTGTCAGCACCATACCCGTGCTCGTGGGTTTCACCGAAGTGGTAAACGTCTGAGACCTGCATCACTGCGGGCTTTCCTCCCAGATTAAGCTGCCACGCCGTGATATAACTGGAATACTGTTAAAAGCGGCGTTAAACCAAACTTACTCCCTCAATGTCATTACGGAAATATAAGACGGAAACGAGAGATTCAACAATCTCGATAATACGCCGAAACAGCATCCATTGGCCGCAAAGGGAACATTGCGATGAAACTTATATAAATGGACCACTGACGTTCAGTGATAACACCAGGTGTTCACGAAAGGGTAAACATGTTCCGTCCTACCGGCAGCGCCCACTACTCACACTCTGCATAAACACCAGTATGTAAGTATACGCCATGGTCCCATGATTTCGTTCAAGCTGAATTGCTCCTTATATCCTTCCCCTGGGATGACCTCAGTAATTACACCTTCGATCACATCACACACTTGGTGAGGTGAATCTTCTCATTTTCACCTCCACTTGTTTAATGATTTATTGATCTTGTTTCGCTGTCCGTACTTCGTCTCACTGATGAGCCCATTACAACAGTGAATGAGTGAGTTGGGTTTAACGCCGCTGTTAACAGTATTCCAGTTATATCGCGGCGTGTCAGCTTAATATGGGAGGAAAGCCCGAAGTGATGCAGGTTTCAGACGTTTACCACTTCGGTGAAACCCACGAGCACGGGTATGGTGCTGACAAACCTAGAAACATAATCGGGGAGAACCGGGAATCGAACTCACAATCATAGGTGTCTGGCGTGCCCAAGGGACGCAACTCTGCACAGCGAATCGCGGCGCCTTAGACGACTTTGCCACCCGTGCCCCCCATTACAACAGTGTATAACTTCAGTGTTGTATTAACTAAGTGTTCACATATTACATTCAGAAATAGCTGGTACCGGCCTCTTCACGGGATCGCACATCTCCGCATTAATGTCTGTATGAACAGGACGTTTATGCGAAACTATGATGACTCTCAAAAGGCAGTCAATGCCTCCTCATCTAATTTGTGACGCGATTGAATGGATGGATGAACGAGATTCCCACTGTCCCTATCGATCTAGCGACGAAATTGTATTCTGCATTGAACTACAACTTTGTATGAACACTGAACACGATACTCACCTTGGCCTCGTTCCATGGTACGCCTGCATTAACATACATGTAACACGACCCCCTATAGAATTTCCCTCCATTCAAGCAATCATCTGCAATGCATACACAGTGACTATGTAAAGGACAGTTCACATCATATGAGGGTATTCAAGCATCATTTTATCATCGCCGTTTGCGGTTAAGCGAATGGTGTTTTTCTCGGACGTCGGAGACAGTATTGCTTAACTGTTAGGCCGTGGGCTAGGTATGACCCACGAGCACCCCCCCCACATCCAAACCCCACTTAATTTTTTTAAAGCCCATAAACATACTAAACATGATTTTGAATGTTAACAAGAAAAAAGTTGGGACGAACTTGTTGTTACAGCCTTTCAAAGTATGGTACCCTATATCGCGTTTTCGCCCGGTTTTGCCGTATATCACTTGGGGGTATGATTACGTTTTGGGTTGTCATCTCACTAGTGATCCACTGATCTTCAAGTGTGATATACCACTGGAATCCATACATAAATACCTCTCCAATGAGGTATCACTAATTGGTATTGAGTGAATATGGACCAACCCATGGCAAATCGAACGTCATATATCCCGACAAAACTATTTTTTTCTCGCAGAAACCTTTAATCCGGTATATGTTCTAGGTACGTGTGCCTGATTCCACTATAATCGTCTAACACGTGTTCCAGTACATCTCTTGAAGTACTTACTTAACATGTGATGTTACCAGGTGAAAATCTTTTGCACAATTTGGAACAAATTTACTCTTATAATGTCAGAGTAGAATACCTAATATTGCATTCTCGGCTTAGCTACATCGGAACAACGCTTGGATGTATGCTCAGGATTTGGCTTGTCATCTTGTGTGTTATTCACCGACCTTGATGTGTTATATGCCATAGGAAACCATATATAAACACTATAATTTGATGTAGGCTGATTATTGATCTACTTTTGGACAATCATATAGAATACCTCTTGACAACTCTGATATCTCTCACTTTGTATGCATATAAGAGGTTCACAGTATAATGCTCGAGTTGATTTCAGAACTTTGAATGAAATGGACCTATGTGTAACATATTCAAGATGGCAACCATAAAGCTGTGCAAAAAAAATGATCATAATGTAAATGTTATTTATTTCAGCAAATATACAAATCAATTTCTTGGACGCAGGCTTGATATTTTGACAAATTTTGCCATTTCAAGTTGAGTTTCAGATGTTTTAGTACAGCTAGTAGTTAAGGTGAATTTGCAGGGGGCACCACCGAAGGTAAAAGACGAATTCACTTACTAACATTTAATTCATACATCACTTAGCTACCTAAGTTTCCAATTTACAGAAAATATCCAAATGCGAATCGTCCAAATCGTATATGAATGGCTTGAAATGAACAGGGACCATGCATTCACAGAAATAAATTATATTCCAATTACATACTTAAGATTCTCTTACAGAATACCCAAGTTAATATATATGGAAATGTCCCACCTTGTAACAATGTCATCACCATGATTATGTGTCTTTTGAGGTTGAACTGTTGTGACTGAGACCAACATCTTATACAACCGGGAACAACTCGAAGACAGCTTTGACATCTCAACCAAAACGGAAACGTATCCCCAGTGATCCAGAGCCAGTGTGCATCATACATGTACCTGGCTTGAAGTATGGCCCACTACAACGTCTGAGCAAAGCCAAAGATCCTGATGAGAAGATGGAAAAGCTGAAGGAGTGATCAAGTGTAGAAGGATGGCAGAACCTCCAGAAATGCCAAATCAAATGGAAGTGTCATGTACAAGCCTGCCGGCAGTTCTGGAAGAACCCCATGGCTATCACAGAGAATATTGTCAGCGTTTTACAATGAACTTTGACCGTTTGTAACAACCTGAAATTGAATCTTTGGAACTAGCTTGCCGCCCAATTCGGCGCCCATCCTATGAGCCCATCATCTTCCAACCTGACTGCATCTTTTGTACTTCGTATTCATGAAAGAAATTCAAGTCAAAAGGAAGCTGGACAACAGAAGGGCTTACAAACTTCAGTCGGGATGGATTGCAGCATGTCATTGAAGTAGCTCAACGTCAAAACGATGAGCCTCTCCTGCTGCAGATCAGAGGGAAGGATCTATTTACCTGTGAAGCAAAATATCACAAGTCGTGCCGAACTGGTTACATACATATTCCTGAGAAATGGCGGAGCTCTCAATCGTCGGAAGTTATCAACAGCAAGATACTGAAAGAGAAAAAGATCTACTAAAGGTGTATACAGATAGTCTTCAGGACACTGCATACCCAAACCCAGACTACAGGAGTACCAAGTTAAAGAAGAAAATTGTCACAAGGGACATTTCCAATCATTCATCGTATACAACAGTTTAATGTTGACTCAGCTGTACGAAACGCCTACCAATTAGGTTCGACTGACACGCTTGCACTTTTCTTCTTTAACTTGTTACTCCAGTAGTCTTCTCTTTCAGTTTCTTGCTGATGATAACTTCCGACACTGATATCATTGCTTTCTTGTGTGCCTCTTCTATTTGATGCTGTCTAAGGTGTTCCTACGGCTGAGAGCTCCGAAATTTCTCAGGAATCTGTAAGTAACCAGTTCGGCACGACTTGTGATAATTTGCTTCACAGGCAAATAGTTCCTTCCCTCTGATCCGCAGCAGGAGAGGCTCATCGTTCTGACGCTGAGCTACTTCGGTGACATGCTGCCATCCATCCCGACTGAAGTTTGTGAGCCCTTCTGTTGTCCAGCTTCCTTTTGACTTGAATTTCTTTCATGAATACTAAGTACAAAAGATGCAGTCAGGTTGGAAGATAAAGGGCTCATAGGATGGGCGCCGAATTGGGCGGCAAGCTAGTTCCAAAGATTCAATTTCAGGTTGTTACAAACGGTCAAGGTTCATTGTAAAACGCTGACAATATTCTCTGTGATAGCCATGGGGTTCTTCCAGAACTGCCGGCAGGCTTGTACATGACACTTCCATTTGATTTGGCATTTCTGGAGGTTCTGCCATCCTTCTACACTTGATCACTCCTTCAGCTTTTCCATCTTCTCATCAGGATCTTTGGCTTTGCTCAGACGTTGTAGTGGGCCATACTTCAAGCCAGGTACATGTATGATGCACACTGGCTCTGGATCACTGGGGATACGTTTCCGTTTTGGTTGAGATGTCAAAGCTGTCTTCGAGTTGTTCCCGGTTGTATAAGATGTTGGTCTCAGTCACAACAGTTCAACCTCAAAAGACACATAATCATGGTGATGACATTGTTACAAGGTGGGACATTTCCATATATATTAACTTGGGTATTCTGTAAGAGAATCTTAAGTATGTAATTGGAATATAATTTATTTCTGTGAATGCATGGTCCCTGTTCATTTCAAGCCATTCATATACGATTTGGACGATTCGCATTTGGATATTTTCTGTAAATTGGAAACTTAGGTAGCTAAGTGATGTATGAATTAAATGTTAGTAAGTGAATTCGTCTTTTACCTTCGGTGGTGCCCCCTGCAAATTCACCTTAACTACTAGCTGTACTAAAACATCTGAAACTCAACTTGAAATGGCAAAACTTGTCAAAATATCAAGCCTGCGTCCAAGAAATTGATTTGTATATTTGCTGAAATAAATAACATTTACATTATGATCATTTTTTTTGCACAGCTTTATGGTTGCCATCTTGAATATGTTACACATAGGTCCATTTCATTCAAAGTTCTGAAATCGACTCGAGCATTATACTGTGAACCTCTTATATGCATACAAAGTGAGAGATATCAGAGTTGTCAAGAGGTATTCTATATGATTGTCCAAAAGTAGATCAATAATCAGCCTACATCAAATTATAGTGTTTATATATGGTTTCCTATGGCATATAACACATCAAGGTCGGTGAATAACACACAAGATGACAAGCCAAATCCTGAGCATACATCCAAGCGTTGTTCCGATGTAGCTAAGCCGAGAATGCAATATTAGGTATCCTACTCTGACATTATAAGAGTAAATTTGTTCCAAATTGTGCAAAAGATTTTCACCTGGTAACATCACATGTTAAGTAAGTACTTCAAGAGATGTACTGGAACACGTGTTAGACGATTATAGTGGAATCAGGCACACGTACCTAGAACATATACCGGATTAAAGGTTTCTGCGAGAAAAAAATAGTTTTGTCAGGATATATGACGTTCGATTTGCCATGGGTTGGTCCATATTCACTCAATACCAATTAGTGATACCTCATTGGAGAGGTATTTATGTATGGATTCCAGTGGTATATCACACTTGAAGATCAGTGGATCACTAGTGAGATGACAACCCAAAACGTAATCATACCCCCAAGTGATATACGGCAAAACCGGGCGAAAACGCGATATAGGGTACCATACTTTGAAAGGCTGTAACAACAAGTTCGTCCCAACTTTTTTCTTGTTAACATTCAAAATCATCTTTAGTATGTTTATGGGCTTTAAAAAAATTATGTGGGGTTTGGATGTGGGGGGGGGGGGGGTGCTCGTGGGTCATACCTAGTCCACGGCCTATGTGGTGAATACTGATTTACGTCCATTTGAGTAGACATTAAAAAAATGAAATGTTATACACAAAACCTCACCAAGTAGATTCATGTCGTCCCTATTGGCATCAAAAGTGGCACCAGTCCATCTGTAAATGGAACATAGTTAAGGCGCAGAAGCGTTTTGACGGTACGTGTAAGTATACTGCAAGAGTGCGAGTGAGTGAGTGAGTATGGTTAAACGCCGCTTTTAGCAATATTCCAGCAATATCACGGCGGGGGACACCAGACATGGGCCCCACACATTGTGCCCATGTAGGGAATCGAACCCGGGTCTTCGGCGTGACCACTAGGCTACCCGATCGCTCCTATACTGCAAGAAAGTCACAACAAATTGATGATTTGTTTTTGTTGTCACCTGCCTGGAAAGATGCTAAACTATGAGAGATGATAGGTCAAGCCAGGATATATAAAGATGGAGTTAGTGTTTATAGATAAACCTAGATGTCTGATCATTATGCCTTAAAATGTTTTGAATGTAATGATTGCATTTAGTCACACTGCTAGTC